TGTTTTTTTGTTTGTTTGCTTGCTTATTTTTTTATTTTAATTATTTATTTATTTGTTTTATTTATTCATTTATTTTATTTATTTATTTATTTATTTGTTTATTTATTTTTTTGTGTTTGTCTATCGTCTTTGTGGCTCTTCTTTCTGTGTCTCCTTTTTTCTTCTCTGTCTGTCTCCTGTCTCTTCTGTCTGCATATAAACTAATTAATTTATTTAATTTATTTATTTAATTTATTTTATATAATAAGCAATATATTAGCAATATATAAATATAAATATTAATAATATATTTATATAATATATTTATATAATATATTTATATAATATATTTATATAATATATTTATATAATATATTTATATAATGAATATAAATATTAATAATATATTTATATAATAAATATAAATAACAAATTTACACAACAAATAAATAATTTATATTAATATTTATATTTATATTTATATTAATATTTATATTTTATTTTTTTTTTTTTAGTTGCTGGGCACAAGGTGTATGCACCGAAGGGTGTGGGGGCCCTCTACATCCGCGAGGGGCTGCAGCTGTCTCCTCTTATCCTGGGGGGGGGACAGGAGAGGGGGCTGAGAGGAGTAAGCAGCAGCAGCAGCAGCAGCAGAAGCAGCAGCAGTAGCTGCAGCAGTAGCAGCAGCAGCAGCAGCAGCAGCAGTAGCAGCAGCAGCAGCAGTAGCAGTAGCAGCAGCAACAGGAGTAGCAGCAGCAGCAGCAGCAGTAGCAGTAGCAGCTGTAGCAGCAGCAGCAGCAGCAGCAGCAGAGATTTGTCTCCTTCTGGTAGCAAGTTGTATAGTGTCTCCTTTCCCTTCTCCTGTCTCCTGTCTCCTGTCTCCTGTCTCCTTTCTCCTGTCTCCTGTCTCCTGTCTCCTTTCTCCTGTCTCCTTTCTCCTGTCTCCTTTCTCCTCTTATTTCCTTTCTCCTTTCTCCTGTCTCCTTTCTCTTATCTCTTATCTCCTTTCTCTTTTCTGTTGTCTCTTGTCTCCTTTCTCCTGTCTCCTTTCTCTTCTTACCTCTTATCTCCTGTCTCCTTTCTCCTATCACCTGTCTCCTGTCTCCTGTCTCCTGTCTCTTATCTGCTGTCTCCTCCCAGCTGTCTCCTTTTTTCTTTTTTTTTTTTTTTT